AAGAATATTTACTTTTAAGCCCAGATCAAGATTTAAACATGCCTTCTCCACTGGTGTCCTGTGTACCTCATGGTGCTCAGCCATATTATACCTCCTTAAAGAGTCAAGAGACACTGGTTCTAACGGATGCTATTAATGTCAATTCAAATGTATGGATGTTTAATAATCTCAAATTATCCTGAGAGGAACGACAATAAGTGAAAACTACTGATCAACAGTTGTACTTGTTCATTTGTATATCAAAACAAGCTGGGCGTCCTCATTTCACAAAATACTTGTGCTCTTTAGGGAGGGGTAGCACCTAGGTGAGAGAACTATAGCTAAGTTTTCAGCTTCTTTGCACCTATCTATGTCACCCATATTTTTCAATGTGCTTTCTTAATCATCAAAATAAGTTACTAAAAGAAAAACTATCGTATCTATTTTACTGTAACTAGTTTTAAAACATAACTAATAGAGTAAATGAAAAGCATTCCAAAACATATTCTTACTGTCAACATTAAATCATCAGCACAAAGGAAATAAGTTTTTCCTTAAGCTTTTGTTTTTTTCTGTTGTCTAGTAACTGATGTTTCTGCTTTTTCCTTTCTTACAAGTGTTTCACTTTTCACTTTCCCCTCCTGCATTTATTTACAGCACCTCAGATATGGAGGTAGAGAGGTTTACAACAGCATAATAATGAATGCTGATTTTGCAGATGTAAATAAAACTAAAAGGAAGATAAAGATAACAATTCCCTAGACCAAACAAATTTAACCACCATAAGCAAGAAGAAAAAAAGCCGGAATTTAAGTACTGTTTTACCTTTTAAAAAAAAAAAAAAAACTCAGCTCTCCAAATTTGGAAGAACTGCTTTAACATTTCTCTAACAAATATAATTTCATCACTTCAAAAAAGTTTTCCTTTAGGATATAGGATATAAATTACTTTTTAAATTATATTTTCTCAAAATGAAGAATAAATTTCCGGGGGGCAAAAAGACTGTGCCAAATACTTGCCCACAAAATGTGCACAGGATATACACACAATTGTCAGGCCAGTATAATCTAAATAACAAATTATACTGTTTTAATCACACTCCAAAACCATCACGAGATGCTGACAATGCTAATAGTTCATCTTTGCCAAATTTAATGTTTTACTCATTTTGTGAGAGAATAAATATTTGAAGAAAACTGATGCTTTTACGAAACACTTAAAAAGAAAACTAATTCTGTCTACAAAAAGAAAAGGCCAATTTCCCAGTGAACCTTTTGAAGAGACAAAACGAGTGGCCTCAGACCAAAGATGATACCTTTTTCCTCACATAACAGTTTTCCTTTCTTTCCAAATATCAAATTACCACAGTAATGCTTACTTACACCATCACAGTAGCCTCCTACAGGACCTCCCTCCCTGACGCCGAAACAGCCCAGTTCTTCAAGGTCTCACGAGTTTACAAACTACAGTCTGAGAGAGCCTTACAGTGTCTGTAAGAATCCATCATGAACTGTGCCTCCCCCTAAATGTATATGTTGAAGTTCTAACCTCCAGTATTTCAGAATGTAATAGTAATCTTCAGGAACACTGTCTTTATTTGGTGCTCTCTCCAGGGCCTAATCCAGTTCCTCCTATCTCCTAATCTACTACTATCTACTCAATGCAGGACTATCTTAAACCTTCTTGGGAAGTGTCTCACAGGAAAGCAAAGATATCAGTTTTCTCTATCTAGAAACAATTCATCTCCTTATTCTTATCCGTCCATGTGGAAAATCAAACTGAAGTCGCTCAGTCATGTCCCACTCTTTGTGACTCTATGAACTACAGCCCACCAGGCTCCTCATCCATGGAATTTTCCAGGCAAGGATACTGCAGTGGGTTGCCATTTCCTTCTCCAGGGGATCGTCCCAACCCAGGGATTGAACCCGGGTCTCCGCACTGCAGGCAGACTCTTTACTGTCTGAGCTACAAGGGAAGCCCCCGCCCATGTGGAATCCCACTATAATGATTTAAGCACAGTGTATCAACTTTACCATACTACATGTCATTTCCAATTGTATTTAAACTGATGCTCTTTTATGCAGGAAACTAATTTACAAGAGAAAATAATATCATTCTTGTTATAAATATGGGGTTGATAATGTTATGTAACAATGCATTAATAACAATATCAAATAAACTGCTACTTTAGGCCAAATGTGTTTTAAGGCACATATGACTGTTTACAAAATACAACTGGTGCTATACCATCATTCACATGCACCATCAAGCAGTCCTGAATTGTACGGGAACATGTTTACTTCTTCATTCAGTTACAGAATCTTTGGCTGATAGATGTGTAGCTTGCTCTACTAACATATAGGGACATTTCCAATCCAATATGTTATCTCTGCCCTAAGATCTTTTATGAAAAGCACAGAGGGCTCTGTGCATATTATAAACATACAAAATGGAGCAACTCAACCTGAGTCAAATCTATGACATCAGACTTCAGATGTAATCTGGAGAAAAATCATCTGCTCTTAACACAGGACAGTATCTTCCAGGCAATTCACTGCGACTCCCCAGCTTCGAATCCCTTAATCTAAACCCTAGACAATGGGTGCATTTCATTAGAAAGCAAAGCCTCTTCACCACAGCAGCTGAAGACCTGAATCAGTATGAAATTACATTTCAAGGCCTTCCATAAATATCTTAGAGCACCAAGCTTGGCAGACATGTAGTCAACTCTGGGGACAGCCTCTACTCTGACACCATATATATGCATTCAAAAGTTACCTGACATGCAAAGAGGACTGCAGGGACCAAACAGGGCACTGCCTACATGCCAGAAATTTGGAACACAACAAAACCTGACTTCCACCTCTCCCTTCCCCAGCAACAACCACCCCTGGGCTCAGGCAATACAATGAAGCAGTGTGTTAAAGGAAGAAAGGAAACCAGAAACAAGTGAAGGGAAAAGAAATACTGAAAAAAGCCAAGGAAATGGGAGGGAAGGTATTACATGTGAGCAATCTAGTAGTAATACGCTGAGATAAACTTCATCGATTTTTTGTTTGTTTTACAAATAAGGTAGGTAAGACGACCGATGATGAGTCAAGGAACCCCCAAACTACCTTTGCGTAGGTGACAACTTGCCTGTGGAAAGGAACTTATGACACCCCCTAACCTCTGCTTCTCTCTACATAAATAAAGATACAGTTCTCAATACTGCTCAGGTAGCAGAGTAACTAGAAGTCACCAGATCTCACTGCAGAGCACCTTGAGATATAGCTATCTCTGTTAAACTCAAGATAACTAAATATATAGTTTCTGCTAATCAGAAACCCCACTTTAGGCTAGACTCTAAACAAGAAAGATGCCAAAAGGTTAAGAAAACTTTTTGAGAGTGAAACATGGAAATGAGAAAATCCAACACATTAACTTGTCCAACCATTGGGGAACAGTCTGCTAGTTCCTAGGATACCAGAAACAGGACCTAAAAGGCAATGAAATTAAACAATACACTCATCACAAGAGGGAGTATGTAAGCAATACTTCCGAAGCCTGATCTTGACTGGCAACTTTTTCTGTAGAGTAAGACAGCAAACTTTTCAGACTCTGAAGGCTATCCATCTCTATCTCAACCATGCAACCAGTCAACTATGTCACTGCTTCTGTGAAAGCAGATATCAGCAATAAGGATGCATCACAGAAAAAGGAATTAGCGTGGCTGTGCTCCAATTAAACTTTATGGGCGTTGAAACTTAATTTTCATATAATTTTTACATGCCATGAAATGTTATTCTTTTGATTGCGTTTTTCAACCATTTAAAAGTATACAAACTATCCAAAGCTCTTAAACTTTAGGGGGGAAAAAACAGGCTGCAGCAGAAAGATTTGGCCCATGGCCCTTAAGTTTACATATCTCTGCTTTTAAGGATCCTCCTGTCAACTGGAGGAGCAGAGTGTGCAATACTGCCCAGTCTAGATAAATGTCGCCGATCTGTAAACTAGCCCATTAGCAAGCAGGAAATCTGGGCATCCCAGACAAAATTATCTCCACCAGCCTCCAAAGCTTCCAGCCCCTCCCTCAGGCAAGGGTGCAGGTGCATTCATCTTGAGCTTTGCATTGCATTAGAACTCAAGCCAAGGAAATTTAAGTTTTGTGGGGTTTTTTAATTCACCTCTTTGCCTAAATTCTACCAAAGGGTAAAGCAAGTATTAAGCAAATTTAGATGATGCAATTCTTATAAAAAGTTCACTTCAGTCACCTACACCCAAATGTGTATGTAATCCTGAAATCCCACTGCATCACCTTGTAAGTTTTTCAGACTAGATGTTATTTATTCTTAAAAGGCAACCTAAATGAGAAATGTCCAGAGAAACACAAAAAGGGATGTTTACGCCACACCTGTCCAACAAAACTGGATAGCAAGTTTGGCCACTTTTCAGATTATTCCCCTCTCGACATCAAAAGAACTTGGAGAGGTTTTCTTCGAGGCTGGTGAGGGTAAGGTCCTCTCATCTGGTGTCTCTGAAACACTAGCTGCCACCCGCTCCCATTCCGCCCAAGCCACATAGCACCCATACCCTGGTTCTGCCCTAGCAGGGCGACCTCAGCACCCCCAACCGCGGAGATGGAGAGAGACTTCCCGCCGCCCTCGACTCGCCCCCGGACACTGGGCAGCGGCGGCCACCTCCGGCCTTCGCACGGCCCCTCCTCCTATCCGCAGTCCCAGCTTGAATTTCCACGCGATCTACAGGAAAGAATAGCCCAGCCTTTGTGCCTCTGTAAGAATGCAAGCAAGAATTTACACCATCACCACCGGTGAAACACACACACACATACACACACAGCGTATTCAGAGCAGCGCTTCCCTAGAAACATCCGGCATCCCGAGGCTGCGAAATTGCAGACAAAGGCGCCCCACTGGCGCGGGCTCGGCGTGGGGGGCAGAGAGGGGGAGGCGAGAGCAAAATGCTCCCACCAACGCGGACACGAGATGTTAAGGGCACGGGCGCTAGGGGGAGGGGTGAAGATGGGGGCGGGTACCAGTGAGCCGCCCGTTCTGGGTGCCCCGCTGCAGCCGAGGCGAGGATCGCCAGTCTAGGGGCGCATCCCCATCCCCTGCCCACCCTCGCGGAGCGATGGAGTGGGCGTCCGGCCTGGGGCGCGGCCAGCGCCGCGAACAGCAACAGGCGCCCGTGCCAGGCCCGGGGTTCCCCTCCCTGGCACCCTTACTATGCCCTTCCAGGCGAACGAAAAGATCAAACTTTTCAGCCTCTTAGAGTCAACAAGAGCAGAAGAGGAGGGAAGTGGCTGAAAGAACCGGGACGACCGCTCGGGAACCCGGCGAGTCGCAAAGGAAACTTCCAGACTCCCATTCAAGAGCCAAAGCAGCAGCGGCTTCTCGGTAGCGCGGGGTGGGGCAAGCGCACCCCTCCGGCCGCCCGCCCCCAGCGCCCAGCCCCCGGCCCCCGGCCCCCGCGCACCTTCCCAGCCGGGGCGCGCGCAGGCCGCGGGGGCGCGCTCCGGCCTCCCGGCCCGGGCCCCGGCGCCGCTTACCCGGCTCGCGACGGCCGCCCCCGGCGGGAACGCTAAAGGGGCGGAGGGTGGGGACGCGGGGAGCCTCGCCTGCTCTCTTCTGTCCCGAAGTAACGGCCCGGCGAGGAGCTTCGGGATGGACGCGCACAGACGCTCCCGCGCGACCGAGAAACTTAATCCCGCCCGGCCACCGGCGGCCCGACGCCAGCTTCAGCCGCCGTCGCCCCCTCCCCCTGCGCGCGCCGCACTTGCGCCGACCGGGGCTGCCGCGGAGGCGGCGGCGTTGGCGGCCGCGAGGCTCGGGCCGCCCGGGCTGCGTGACGCCTGCGGCCGGCGGGGCGGCGGGCGCGCCTCGGCCAATCAGGGGGCGCGGCCCAGCCGGCCGGCCCGGGGTTTAAACCAGCTCGGCGGGCGCTCGGCTAGGATGTGGGGAGTGGGCTCCGCGAGGTTGCTGGGGGAAAGCCCCGTTTAATTGCAATGTCAGATTTTTAAAAAAAGAAGCGTTCATTTGCACAAGTCTGCCCCAGGCAATATGTGGGATATTCTTATACACTAAATTCTGATACACTTCCCTGGTGGGTCAGACGGTAAAGCATCTACCTACAATGCGGGAGACCTGGGTTCAATCCCTAGGTCGGGAAGATGTCCTGGAGAAAGAAATGGCAACCCACTCCAGTATTCTTTCCTGGAAAATCCCATGGACGGAGGAACCTAGTAGTCCATGGGGTCGCAAAGAGTCGGACACGACTGAGCAACTTCACTTTCACTTTCTATAAACTAAAAAATTGTTTATCTGAAATTCGGATTTAACTGAGCAGCCTTGATTTTATTTGCTGAATCTGGCAACCTTTGGGAACTGGTAGGCCCTATTTCTAAATCTGAGAACCTTTTTTTTTTCTTTTTAATCCCAACGGAAATGGCAACCCACTCCAGTATTCTTGCTTGGCGAATTCCGTGGACTGCCTACAGTTCATGGGGTCACAGAGGCGGGCACGACTGCGACTAACAAACACACACTCTCTCTCACACTCTCTCCCACAGTCTCTCTCTCTCTCTCTCTCTCTCTCTCTCTCTCTCTCTCTCTGCTTGTTAAAGTGAGGAGAAGCACTTTAATGAGGATGCCTGGAGCTAATCTCACTTTGTAAAAAGTAACTTTTAGCGCATCAATGTCCATTTCTTGACAATAATCGAATTAAAAGACACAAAAGAATGCAAGAAGGCTTCAGAATTACAAGGTGCCAGAAAAAGCATATTCATTTCTATCTTGTGCCGGTTAAGATTATCTTTCTGAAATCCTCAATTCATGAGTCCCAGGAATCTTGTCTGGGAAAGAAAACTGCTCCCTTTTCAATACATAAGTGTAACGTTAGGGCATACATCATAGGATACTCAGAAGCCAAATTAAAATGTTTAAAGAATGTATTTAATATCCTGAATTAAAGATCTATTTTTCTTTGGCAGAATTGTAATTTTTGATGTGTCTTAAAAAAGCGATCTGTATATATTTCTACAATATTCACCAACTATTTGAAGGGAAGTAGGTTATAAAATAGACAAGACTTCAAGGGGAAATTGGTTTGAGTTTTTAAATCGATATTTTCAGAACGCTACAAAACAGAACATTTGCCTGCAAATGACTAGGAATTGAGTGAAGTGACCTCAGTGGCCTGGGTGGAGAGAGTGTTCTCAGCCCAAGGACCCTTGTACTTTTATTAACATTATGAATCCGTCGAGTTTTTCCCACCAGCGAAATAAAAATACTGATTAGGTTTTTTCATAGTATATGGATATTCATTTCCTCTGCGTCTTTTGAAAATAAAAGTTGAGATGAAATAAGTGAAAAACTCATCTCGGCTTAAGGTCGCCCCTTGTCTCTTCAGCACACCTGTGTGTTGTATAACCTTTCAATCAGCACGCTCAGGCCTCACCATTCTGAAAAGGGAAAGAGAGGAGGAAGAAAGAGGCGAGAGAGAGGGACAGAGGGAGAAAGGAAGGAAGGAAGGAAAAAAGAAAGGGAAGGATGGAGGGACAAAAGAAAAAAGAAAATAACCTTCCTGAGCAGCTCTTTTCTCATCGGCTGCCACACTTTCCCCTTTTCCTTCACATTTAAGTTTGTTGAAACCAACTAACTGAATCTGGCTTCCTGGCCCATCAGGGCCCTAAAGGGACTTTTCTAGAGACACAGTGATCTTCCATCCGTTAAATCCAATGGATATGTTTCTCGCCTCCTATTCCTGTCTTCTCAGATGCATCCATTACTGTTGCACATTCTCTCCCTGAACTGTTCCCCTCCCGTTGTGTTTCCATGCATTCACCTTCTCTTGGTTTTATGCCTTCCTCTTAGCGGCAGATGTGTGAGACCTGAAGCTCATACAATTTGAGACTCTGCTTTAAGAAAAGAAAAACAAAGATATCCTTCTTGGGAAAATTTTACTAAACTATGTGATCACGTAACCTGTTGCTAGGGCTTTTCCCAGACAAAAGAAGGACCCAGAATCATCACCTTTACTAGCTGCAAAGTTGCTCTGCCTCTGTCAGACCACTCTTCAAAATTCTTTGCCAACTAATCGCTCCTTAATCTTTAAATGGAATTCTTTAAGACTCAATGATAGGCCCTGTTTTCTTTTTAACTCTATCTCTAAGTCAGTTCATTCTCACCTCTAGCTTATCATTTATTGGTTAAGGATTCCTAAACTGTTATCTTCAATCCAGACTTATTCATCTATCTGAGTGTTTATTTGACTTTCCTGTATATCTGTCTCAGACCTAGATTACTCAAAATGGAGCAATGATATTTCGGCTCAGGCCATCTTTCAGAGTTCAGTATTTCGGTGAATAGCACTGCCATGGACTTTACTCCATGTTTCCCATAATTAGGATAAACCCATTGAGATACATTCTCATCTATATTCTTGCTCCATAGTACTCATCCAACTCTGTAATTATACATTTAGTTTATGCATTTAGTTATACATGCAATCTTTCTGTTCTCTCTTAGACCATAAACTACTTGAGAGAAGTGCCCACATCACCATTTTATCCTCAGAGCACAGAAAAATGTTTCGTACCTAATTAGTGTTCAGTTGACATGGACTAAATACATGAATGCAAAAATGAATGATTTATCTATATAACTTTCATTTTCTTGCCGTAGAGTCATCTCCAGGCATCCCATTTGGAAACAATCCTCTTACTACTTAAAAATTCCAGGTGATTCCTCCTGTTTGAAGAGCAAAACCCTTCCATTTGTCCTTTTCCAAATCTGGTCATTCTCAGATGTAAAGAAAGTGCATGAAATACTAGTATGTAGAAGTACAGAAGGAAAATGATTCCATAACTAGCTACTAAAGGTATTCTGAGAATCTTGAAAGGCAAAATGGCGTTTCAGGCATACACAAATTTAATATTTTGGTTTGTTGCAAGTCTATACATGAGATTAAAATAATGGTTTGGTTTAAAAGACACTGTCATTCTAGTCCCATTTAGCAAAGCAAATTGTACATGCCCACCTTAAATGGTAATACATCAGAGGTGAAAAATGCATTTTGTTTCCATTGCTTCTTCCATAAAACTATCCAGGACTGGGATGATTCTACTCAGGATCATCTCCTTTCGAAGTAAACCCGTATTATTACTGCTGTTTTCTCTTATGCTTGTTCTAACCCAGACACAAATTTTCTGGTAGTAACAAAACAGTGTGGTTTATTGCACTGGTTTAAAAAATGTTTTTTTAATTAAAATAAAATCTTACAGAAAAAGCCCAAGTATAAAGCAGATAAAGTAGAGCTGCTGTCCTCTGTGAGGTGGGTTGAAACTCACTCCTGTGTATAGATTAATAATTCTTTCTATTCTTTCTATTTCATGTCAAGCACAGTCTTCGGATCTGATGATGAGGGAGTTAGGCACTTTGTCTGCATCCCAGTTGTTTTCCCAGGGAAGCATTCTGCACACTAATTTGTTTCTATCAAATCTGAATAATGTTCAGACCAGTTTTGTAAGGGAAAAATTCTGTGACTTCCAGTATTAGCTAGATTTTTTTAATATAATTTAACAAGTATTGATACAAATATCAATTAAGTATATAAAACTTGGATACTGGCGAAAGGTCCAGTTTGTCTACTCAAAACTCTTAGTGTCTGCCAGAAAGAGATCCTGGAAATCCCATGTTCGATCCATCAAGATAGAAAGTTGCCTCCCAGGCAAAATAGTCTTTGTTCTGCTTTCCTGACAGTGGTCCAGTCCCTCCCTCACTTGGTAGATGTTACTACAGGGTCCCCAGGTCAGCATTGTGTATGAACCAGATCCTTTCCCCAGGACTAAATGACTTTGGAGGAATTCTAAATGTAGGCCAATGGTTTATTTCCATATCTTTAAACAGCTGTGTCTCTTATTAGCTAATAATGCTCCATTTAAGTGCAAACTAGTTGATGTATTTACATCTCTTCCTGCCTAAGGATTAGCTAATATATAACAAATATTCATTTTTTATTTATTATAGTTTGCAGAAAGGTTTTTATATTCCGTGTTGGCTGGATAACTTTATGGTTTTAACTGGCCTCTGGTTTCTCAAGTAAATGAAATGAGTTTGAATACTTTTTTTTTCTGTTTGTTCAATGTTAGAAAAAAATAGGCTATTTTAAACAATCTTTAACTTCTTTTGATAATTGAAAACAGACAAGATTGAAAAAAGAAAAATGTTAGGATAATAAATATATGTCTACAAGAAATCCATTAGGAGGAAAGAATGGCTGAGAGAGAATGCCAGGCATGTGAAAAATGTAAAAATTATATCTCTTTTGAGAACATGTAGAGTAATCTGTCTCTCTTCATATAACAAACTGTTTAGAGAAGAACAGAAGCACTGAAACATACAGTGTGTGTGACTGGGTCTTATCTTTCAGAGGAAGAAAGAAAGGGCACTGGGAGGTCATGACCATCTGACCTTGACTCCGTTTACTCATGGACCAGAATTATGGTGCAGTGAGGAGATGCTGGGAGAAAGCTTTAGGATGAACTTGTGTTTTGGGTGGAACACATCCAAATAATCTGACTCAAGTTTATACCAGCTAGAATGACATTTTGGAATCTCTCTCCTGTAAAGTATTTCTTCTGCATCATGTATACTATTAGAGTATAAATCAGTTGTCCACAAAAAAGTCAAAATAAATAAGCAATAATCATAATGAGAACTTGCTTAAGTCATATCATAATTTTTAGGTAATACACCTCCTTTGTAACAACAGAAAGAATAGAGAAAAGAATTGTGTTTTTGAGAGTGCCACTGGGTGACTAGATCACACTTTACCTGAAGTCCGTGCCTGCTTTTCTATTTTCATTTATGTAAGACAAAAAATATCCTTTAGTTCTTAAACTAGTGTGAATTGTGTCTTCTGTTATTTGCAACTAATAGCTTTCGAACTAATAAAATATACATATTAAGCCATTCACAGTGATCTAAACAGTACTTTCAAC